TTCTTTTCTCTTTTTCTTTTTACTTTTTTAACCTTTTAAACACTAAGAAGTATAAACATATCCAGAAAAGTACATAAAACAAAAATAAGTGTAATATATTATTATAAAGTGAACATTAGTCTGTCATTCAGATGAGGGATAAAGCATTGCTATTACCCTTGAAATGCCTTCTTGTGTCCAGTCTTTTTCTCTCTCTTAAAGGAAACCACTAGTCTGACTTTATGGTACTTCCTCATTACCTTTTACCTTTTAGTTGGTCATCTGACTATTCATCCCTAAACTATGTAATTTTCCGTATTAGACAAATCTTTCTATAAATGGAATACTCAGGTATATTTTATTTTGTCCATGGATTATTTTGCTTAATATATATTTCAGATTATGCACATTGTGTGAAGTTGTATTATTTTTGTTGCAGTGCCATATTCTGCACTGAATATGCCACACATTTATTCATTCTGCCTTTGATGATGAGATCCAGTTTTGGACTGTTATGAATAGAGTTGCTTTATGGTTATACAAATAATGCTGGTTCAAGTTTACTTGTTTATATGTTGTCCTGTGGCTTTGGTCTGAGAACTGGAACATTCCTGGTACTAGAAAACTTACAAATGCTGATTCTTGGGATCCACCACATACTTAAGAATCAGGAACTCCAGCGGTGGTGCCCAGTAATTTGGATTTTAACAAGCCTTACAGGAGATTCTTGTGAATGGTACAGTTTGAAATTCATTACTTAGGGCAAGGGTCAGCAAAATATGGCCCATGGGCCAAATCCTGGCTGATGCCTGTTTTTCATATGGCCTATGAACTAAAACTGGTTTTTACATTTTAATTTAATTTTATTTATGTTATTAAATCTGTTTTTTTGTTTATTTCCCTCCCCCTTATATTTTTTAATAGTTAAAAAAATTAAAGGAAGAATAAAATTTCTTGGCACAGGAAAATTATTTAAATGTAAACTTCAGAGTTTATAAATACAGTCTTATTGTTTCACAGCTGTGTCCATTTATTTACATAGGCTGTTTTCTTGCTAACAGGAAAGAAAGCTGTACTTGTGACAGAGACTTTATGGCTCGCAAAGCTTAACATATTAACTATTTGGCCTTGTTTAGAAAAAGTTTGCTTATCTCTGCCTTGATGTGTATACTTGGGAGGAGTAAAGTTGCCAGGTTATGGGGTGTATTTACCTTCAACTCTTGAGATAATACCAAGTTTTCTAAAGTAGTTCTACCAATTTACACTTCTGGTAGTAGGTTATGAGAGTTCCCATTGCTCTCCATTATTTTTTAAAAATACATTTTTATTGATTTCAGAGGGAAAGAGAGAAACATCAGTGATGAGAGAGAATCTTTGATCTGTTGCCTCCTGCATGCCCCCTACTTGGGGATCAAGTCTGCAACCAGGACATGTGCCTTGACCGGGAACGGAACCTCGACTTCCTGATCAGAGGGTGACACTCAGACACTGAGCCAAGTCAGCCAGAAGCATTGCTCTTTATTCTTACCTGTGTTTTTCAACTTACCTGTAGTTGTCACAGTGGGAGTATAGTAGTGTCTTCATTGTGTTATTTTTGCCTCCAAAATGATGAAAAACTTCAAACATATGGAAAACTTGCAAGAATCTTATAATGAATATCCATATTCCTTACCTAGATTTTACAATTTACAGTTTATTATACTTGTTTTTATCACCTATTATCCATTCCTCTGTCTTTAACCCACCAATCCATTTCAAAATAAGTTTCAGAAATCATAACCCTTCCTACCAAATACTATAGCCTGCATATCATTAACTAGAGTTCAGTGTTTGTTAAGAGTTTTCTTTTTATTTAAGTAACATATACATACAATGAAATTCACAAACCTTAAGCACACCTAATTCATGAATTCCAACAAATGCATAAACTTGTGCAATTTAAACTTATCAAAAGACACAGAGCATTAATATCTGAAGGTTTCCTCATGCTGCATTTTAATGAATCTGTCTTGGTAACCACTAATCAAATCTTTTCCTACCATATTAGTTCTGTCTGTTCTAAAACTTCATATAAATGGGATCATGTAAGTCTTTCTGTGGTCATATACTTTCATTTTTCTTGGATAAGTGCCTAGGAGTGAGATTGCTGGGTTATAGGGCAGATATTTTCAGTCTTACAAGCAACTGCCAGATCTTTTCTCCAAGTGGTTTGTACCATGTATATTCCCAACAATGAGAGTTCTAATTCTTCACCCTCACCAACATTTCCCCCCATTTTAATGTTAACCATTCTAATGAGTGTGTAGCAATATGTCATTGATGTTTTCACTGTGGTTTTAGTTTGTACTTACCTAATGATTAAGGAGATGGAGCATCTTTTCATATATTTATTGACCCAGTGAGTTTTATCATTTTGTAAAGTTGCCTAGTCATGTGTTTTGCTTATTTTCTTAGGTTGACTGTCTTTTTCTTATTTTTGTCTTATCTGTCTAAGGCCATTTGCATATTTATGTACATTTTAGAACCAACTTGTACATCTTCTCACACACAGATAACATATAAAAGCTATTGTGATTTTGTCTGAGACTGTATTGAATCTATAGATCATTTTGAGAATTGGTACTTTTATAATAAGTCTGTAATTTTAGGTTTCCTCAGTAAGGTTACAGTTTTTTTGTGGAGGCCTTCCTCAACTTTTGTTAGGTTGATCCCTAGATATTTAATAGTTTAAGTTTGGTTGTAATTGGTATCTTTTAAAAAATTCTATTATTGAATTTGACTGCTTGGTTGGTTGATTGGTTTTTCTATATGTGATCTTATATCCAGAAACTAGATTAATTAGGGTCCAGAGGTATAAGAATTTATCTGTAGATTCTTTCGGCTTTTCTAAAGATATTAATAATATAATCTGTGAATGCTGACAGTCCTTATACTGTCTTTCCTATCTGGTTCCCATTCATGAGTCTTGTTCCCTGAGTGCTTCATCTTTGACTTTGTACTGGCGATATTATTTGGAAAGTTATTTGGAAGGCTACATTGAGGCCTAGGAGGATTACCAGTATATCTTTCTTCAAAGAGGTTTCATTTGTTTGTTTCATGGGTCTCGGGGCATTGATAATCCAGGATAATTTTAATTAAATCCATAATCTGAGGTCCCTGGCCCACTCGATAATTGGAAACTAGATGTAGATGCAGAGTCTGTAGACTAATAATCTTCTGGGTTTACCCCCTCCTACATTCTTTAGAGTCCTAGAGAGAAGGGGATAGTTTATCTACTGCAGGCAGAGTGTTTTGAAGCTGCTTTCCCAGCATCAGTAACGGTAACAATGGACTTTAAATGATAGGCTTTGACTGTTGGCCTGGCAATTCCTAGGTAACTTACCTATAATGCAGATGGAGTGATCTAAATTACCTACTCCACTGGAACCGAAACTCGGTGTTTCTTTATGATTCCATTGAGTTTCTAATTCCTGTTCCTGAAAGTTTTTTGGTGTTTTTTTTTTTTTTTTTTTTTTTTTGTGTGGATTTCTAGAAGTTCTTTGTTTTCTTTCATTTTCTTCATTCCTTCCTTTCTTTCTCAAATAACTTACTATAGTTTCCCATTTCATCAGCTGTCATCATCCTTGTTTTTTATTTCTCAATATATCTCCATGCTCGGAGTCTATTATTGTTGTTGTTATTATTATTTTCTCATTAAGTGATGTTTTACGATGTGCCTTGTTATAGAAAATGCAATTGTATTTTAAAATGTATTTGTAGGAATTCTTTGAAGTATGATTTGAGTTTGCTTCTGCCAGGTGGCTGGGCATTTGAATCAGGGTCCACTTTAAAACCAGTCCAAGGCTTGGGTTATTTTGAATGACTCATGGCATTTGATCAGGAGGATCTCAATGAAGTGAAACTAGATATTGTACTTCTTATGGGCATGACTGTACATAAGTCCTCTGTATTATAAAGAAGATACTTTAAGAAATTTTATCAGTTTCTTTGATTTTTGTGAGAGGTTGATCTGGATAATATAGCCTGCTTCACTGAACCATTGAAGTCTACTGCAATTTATTTAACCAAATACCTTTTGTTGGACATTTAGGTTTTCTTCTTATTATTACAAATAACATTGTGATGAAGAAAAATTATTCCTGGAAGTAAAACTGTTAGGGTCTGCATGTTTTAATGCTTTTTGAAATGTTTTGCCCTTTGGAAAGGTTGTTCCAACACTGTTTATCCTAAGTTTGCCTAACTTGGGCCATTTTAATAGGTAGAAAATAATACTACATTATTGTTTGAATTTACTTTTATTATTTCCACCTACATGAATAGTAGCTATTTTAGACTTTTGGATTACTAGTACTTTCTACTTTCAAAGGTTTTATTGAGAGTTATTCAGATGTCAAATGATATAAATATTTCCCTCAGTTTGTAATTTATATTTCATTTTAACTTATAGATTTTTTTTAAATCTTTCTGTATAGAAATTTATAATTTTTATCTAGTTAGATCCATCAGTCTTTTCTTTTTAAAACCATAATTAGTCTGAGATAATAGATTTATAATTGTGTCTAACAAAACTAGTATTTTTAGTTCATAGTTGTTTATATGTCTAGAAAATTGAGAAGTAGTTAAATTGCTCATAACTACAAATAAGTATTTTAATAAGAAACATAGCTCTTGAATTCAGATAATGCTCATTTTAAGTCTATATTAAACTGAGTTTTTATTATAATTCCTTTGCTTTTATATTGTAATACTTTATATTTTTTTTGCTGTTGTTCTTTTGGTATATGTTGACAGAATTGGCAGAGTAGAAATTTAAAAGTGTAATTTAAAATTTTAAAAGTATTTGGCTTCATTAATGCTAATACTGATTTAGTGACTGATATATTAGGAATGATTTGAAATATCAGGGTTTACAGATTTTATAAAAAATAGAATATTCACTGCTCTAGTGAAGGAAAGTATTGTATTGAAACTGAATGAAGACTTTTACTTCCTTAAACAATATGAAATATGTTTTCTTTTAGATAAGTAAGGATGAGAAGACTTTTCCAGAAAATGATATTAAGGCTTCATCATTCAGTCCAAATGAGACTGGCTTAGAGTTGGAGTCAGTTTATAAGGTATGTAAACTTTGAACTACTTTCTAGGTTTTGTTAAATATATCACATGGAGCTTTCTATATATATTTAATTAACACATGTATATAGCCTGTTGTCACAACAGCCTCTCCTGCTCCTGCGTGTATTTCTTCTTCACCCACTAAGAGTGTGCCAGCATTCTGTGTCGGGATGTCCTCCTACACAGACACTCCCCTAACCCTGCCTGGGCTCTGACCCTGCATTGCCTGCATTCTCTAACAGGAATTCTCTCCTCACAATGCTTAGGCTTTTGTGCTGCATGCTGGGCTGCCCCCTCTCCCATCACCCCTCCCTCTGGATCCCTGCTCTGCATGGAAAGCTTTTTTGCCATTGAAGGGCTCTGACACCTTCTTGGGTCATCTCCCCATGTGAACTTGCTCTCCTGTGGAAAGACCTTCTTAAACCCACCCAACGGGTTCCAGCAGTTAGCATGGGCTACCTCTGCTGCTCTCTGTCCCTTAGCCCAGATTCCTGCTTTGCTTGAATCCATTAAATGGTTTTTGGACTAAATAGTTCCAGAGGGGAGAGCTGAAATTCATTAAAAAATTTGATAGTTGCAACCCCCCAGGTTCCTTTGAAAAGAATGTACTCAACATTATTGGTGAGTGCCAGTGGCTTACAATCCTGCCTCCACATTAGCTCCCCATTCTGACTTCTCTGTTCCTACCAGTTAGGCCATTATTCACTCAGCCTTCCAAATGTAGAGTTTGGGAATCAACATTTATCCTTCCCACATCCCACATTTCCCATTACTCTGCCTTCATATAATCTTTCACTTTTGCTTAAGCATTTTTATCTTCATTGTGACCACCCTGAGAAGCTAGAATCATGGAATATGAGAGCTAAGGAACCCCTAAGAGTCATTTAGATGATTCCTTCCTGCCCTATCCTGGTTTTAATTATTCTATATTTTTATAAAATGTGTAAACCCTGGTATTTCAAAAAATTTCTAATATAATTACTAGATCAATATTGTCATTAATGAAGTCAAATTTGTTTAAAAATTTAAATTCAGTATACTTTCAAATTTCTACCTATAAACCTTTACCTCTAAGGTTTAGAAGCAGTAATTAAATGTTCCAAAATCATAAGTCTAGTGAGTAAGAGAGCTTGGATTAAAACACATTTCCAAACTTTTGTCCATTTCCTTGCCTGAGTTATTGTAATAAAGCCTCTTACCACCTCCTCTGATGTGTCCTGTGTGAATTACCTGTTTGGTGTAATGTCACACATGTACTGCCCCAGAGAGCTGTTTGACTTTCCATTTGTGTCTAACTTATTTTCTCACCTAAGTGATGACCTACTTCAGGACAAGGACTGTGCCATGGTAAAAACTATTTGTTAAAAAAAGCACATGTTCTACTATTTTGTGATGTTGTTGAGTATATTGAAGAATGGGCATATAGTTTTAACTCTAACCTAAAACTTGGGCAAATAGACAATTTGGGGATCATTTCCTTAACCTAATTTTTTCTCTCATTTTTGAAAAGAGAAAAATGATTGGATAATAAAGATGATTTTCACAGTTCAATAACATATTTCTGATATCTTAAACATTTAGTATAGTTCATAAGACTTATAAATGTATAGTAGTATTGTTTTTTTTTTAAAAAAACATTTACTTGGCAACTACTTATTTTAATAGCAAAACCGAATGCTTATTATTATTTTTATTTCTTATTGTTGAGATTAGCATTTGCAACATATTTCTCAAAAGAAAGAAGGAAATGTAGATGAAGAAATTTGTATTGCTTCATTTGTTAGTAATTTTCAGCACTGAACATATTGTATACACATTAGGATTCTACTTGATGCAGAATAAAATGTGGAGTATATCAATTGAAAGGAATACAATGTGCTTTGAGGGCTTGAGTTGGTAGTTTGAACTCCTGGGGGCTATAATTTGTAAATTCACTAGTTAAGTAAAAAGAAAGCATTTTAACTTGACAATATTTTTTAAGACATCCACTCTGAAATAAACACATTTTTGGATTGCACTTCTTTCTTGTGCTAATTGTTTACTTGTAAGGAGTGTAAATTGATCTTTATTTTCTTCTGATCTGTGGGGATTGATGAATTTGTCAGAGGAAGAATTTTATTTAGACTTGGTACATATGAAGACTTGGGAGGATTTCAAAATGACAGGTGCTGCTTTTTCTCCCTGTTTCACTCTGAATTCAGATCCCTTTTGCTGACGCTCTGGATTTGTTCCGAGGAAGGAAAGTCTATTTGCAAGATGGCTTTGCTTATGTACCACCTAAGGACATTGTGGCAATCATTCTGAATGAATTTAGAACCAAGCTGTCCAAGGCTTTGGCAGTAAGTACTTTTCTTTTTTAGTATATTTCCATATTCGCTTTATTTCCACATATTCACTTTTTAATTTATAAAGTAGATCCTCAGGTCTCGAACTTAATTCCTTCTGGAAGGTTATTTGGGAAGTGATTTGTTAAAAAATGAAATCATTTTTCCCCTATTAAAATAATGAAAATTAAATTAATATAATTGAATTGAATTAATCCATTCCAGATCCCAAATGATTCCCTGTTTAGACCTTTCTCATATAAAGTACATGTCTCATGTGCTGTTTAATTTGTAAATAAACACTTCTTTTCTTACCTTTATGGAACACCCCCTACAAGCTTTAAAGGAATCTCTTTTAGCCCTTCTTTCCAGGGCTGTCTTCCTGGAGGTCAGTATGCAGCATCGTCACTTTTCCCCATATTGCTTCCATCCGATTGATTACTTTTCATTTATCCAAGTCAACAACAATTTTTCTGCCTCTTCAATTGCTTGTGATTGTTGTTTTGTGAACACTTTCACACCCTTAGCTACAGCAGCACTTTTGATGGCCTCTTTATGTTTTAAAATTGTGCTAATCGTCGATTTGGCTAGCAATAAAAGCAAAAGAAACCCGAAAACACAAAAACATTTGGAGCACAATTTTGTGACACGTTAACAACAGGAGGTTCAGTGGTAAACTGACTCATATTCAGCATTCTGTCCTTGGTTTGTGGCCTGAGAGATGTTTTTTTTGTCATGTCGAGGCATTAGCATGAAAGGATTATTTGTCAAGAACTGGATTATTGGTCAAGTTTTGTTTGACAACCTAGACATTTTTTTCTGTGAACAACTTGCTTGAGAACCGAATTGTTTGAGATGGGAGATGTTTGAGAACTAAGGTTTGACCGTATAGCATTGGTCATTTTGATCTTTACTTTTTAAGAAATAAATTAATTTTTATAATGATATTCAAATTGCTTATGATGTTGTACTGGTAATTCTAGAACTGTTAGGTTTTTATTCATTTCTACCCATAGTTAGTTTTCTTATTTTTTCTTTCTCTTGGTAATACTAATGGAGAGCTGGTTAATTTTGTAAGGGTGTTTTTCAAGGTCCTGTCTCTTTGCTTCGAGATGGATTTTATATAAGGCCCTTCACATTAGAGTGGCCTTTGGTGGATGTAACCCTTAGATTTTTGTTCTAAATTGGTATTTTGGGTCAGTAGAGGGCAATGTAGAAGAAAGTCTTTATATTAAATAGTAAAAACAGTGATATGATAGTGCTGCAATAAAGAGCCTACTGCTGGGTGAGATTGGTGTTAGCTGTGTTGAAAATATAACATGATCAATGCTTTTTCAGAGATTTGTTGAAACTGTTAGACTTAAGTATAACATCTTAAAAATACACACAAAAATTGTATTATTTTCTGGTGTAAATAATTTTTATTACTGGCTCTCCTGGTTAACTAACATGTATAATTCAGCTATATCAGCATTTGGGAAGACTAAAATGTTAACTCTGCTTTTATGAAAGAAGGCACTTTATTTAAATACATAACATTATGGGTGTTTTATAACTGTTAATATTCTTCCTCTTTCCCTAATCCTTTGTGTTGTGGTTGTTGTTACTGTTTTTAATCTTTAGTAGAGTTGATGTTTTTCAATATTTTCTTTACTTCTGTTGTAACTTATCCTGGACCATAATCTATTTCCAGGTAAAGATAGAATCTTTTATACTGTCAGCCTCTGTAGCAGACATATTTGCCTGCTGGTGGTGGTTCTTGCTTTATTATGGTTTTGCTCACCCACTCTGCCTGTTGACATGTTGGTTAGCACCTCTTTATATGAAACAGCCATGTGCTTTTCAGGACAGTGGGAATCTTTATCTCTCATCCCCCTAAATGCCAATAGTGGTCCAAGTCCCCATAACAACCAAACATATCACCATGTATTTCAGAAAACTTCTGCAGTGTTGGTATCATCCTTGGGCTGATCATGGTGGTTTCTTCCTCCTTCCCAATTTGTCGATCTATGCATGCAATACAATGTAACTCCGGCTGAAAATATGAGAAGTTGTTTTGGGGCTTCTGAAAAAAGCTTTCCTTGCTAATAAAAATGGGCACACGAATATTTGCTAGTCAACTTAGTTTCCTAACAATCTTATGTACAAAGAAGGATATGTGGCAGATTTTAAAAAATAGCATTTTTATTTATTTCAGGGACAAAGGGAGAGGGAGAGAGATAGAAACATCAATGATGAGAGAGATCGGCTGCTTTATGTATGCCCTCTTCTGGGGATCGAGCCTGCAAGTCAGGCTTGTGCCCTCACTGGGAGTGGACCTCCAGGTTCATAGGTTGACCCTCAACCACTTCTTATGGGCAGAAGATGGGGAATATAAATACACTGATATTAGTGGGTTCCTAAGTTAGGAATAAATTTATTTTTTCAGCAAATTACACTTAAGCTTTGTACCTCCCTCTCTCATTCTTTCCCCCTTCCAATATACTATAAGAATTTTTAAAATATTTTTTTTAGACTTTTGAAGTAATCACAAACTTACAGAAAAGTTGCAAGTAAAACAACAGTGTTTTTCCTAAATCATTCGAGAATAAGTTCCCAACCTTATGTCTCATTACTCCCAATACTTTATCGTGTAATACCTGGAAACACAGATGTCCTCCCATTCCACAATTCACCTGTCAAAATAAGGAAAATGGTCATCAGGTCATGGCTGCCATCCAGTCTCAGGCCTCTTTCTCCTGTCACCAGTTGTCTCAGTCATGTCCTGTATTTGTCCTAAATCAAAAGTGCTATTTAGTTAGTCTTTTTAGTCTCCTTTAGTCTGGAATAGGTTTTTAGGTTTCCCTTGACTTTCGTGATTTTATTACTTTTGTAGGTTCTGGGCCAAGTTACTTTACAGAATAGCTCTCAATCTGGTCTGATATTTTTCATGTTCAGATACAAGTTATACATCTTGAGTAGGAATATCATAGAGGTGAGGGTATATTCTTTTCATTGCATCCTATCACGTGACACATGATTTTGATTCATTCCAGTTTTGATTGACTTTATTTAACAGTGTATTTACTTAACTATTCTGTTACTGATGTGCATTTGGGTTTTATTTTCTTTCCTGTGGTTATTATTAATACTGCTGCTCTGAACATTCTAGGACTTCTTTGGCAAATTCATTTCTGTTAGTTCTGTGCCCAGGATTGGAACTGTAGAGTGTAGGCTGGTCCACCTTCTGCTTTAGAGGATTCAGACTTACTGGGTTGGTCCTGAGTGCTAGGGCTTATGGAGAACTCTGGCCTCAATGTCTTTGGAATTGAAAGAAGAGGGACAGTGATTGCTGCTTGACTTTCTCCCGGCAGGGTAAGGGCCATGTCAGGTTGAAAGATTGTCCAAAGAACTGTTTGCCTTTTATTTTTTTATCTTCATCCGAGGATTCCCCCCCCCCCCCCCATTGATTTTAGCAAGAGTGGAGTGGAGGGGAGAGGGAGAGAGAGAGAAACATTGATGTGAGACTGAGGTACTGAGGTACGTGCCCTTGACTGGGAATTGAATCTGCAGTCTGTGGGTCTGACACTCTAACCATGGAGCCAAACCAGACAGGGACCCTTAGTCTTTTCATTCAGGAGAGAGGATGGCGAGTATTGCCTAGCAACCTGACCTGACAGCTGTGGGAGGGAGCAGAAGGAAGGGAGGGATTTCTTTTAGGGCTATGGTGAAGGAAAAACCTATTGCTATGGTCTCTTTATGACTGTCCTTTCCCAGGAGGAAAATTTTGACCTTGGGATAGATAATTGAAAAATATCAGCCTTATGAATGGAAATATTCTTGTAGGATGAGAAAAATTGCCCTAAAATACTTTAGTGGCAGAGGGTGAAATAAATGAGGCTGGGGAAGTCTAAGGCGATAGAAGTTTTATCCCAGGTGATATCTAAAAGCTTGTTCTCATGGGGATTTTTATGATACCGGAACTAGTCTGGCTTTTGAATACGTTCTAGGACTTCTCATTTGATAAGCCCTTTCTCACCTTCTGACCTGGGAGCTCAGCCGTGGCCACTCTTCCTCCGGAAGCCCTCCCAAGCCTCAGGTTGTGTGAGCTGCGTCGTCTTTGTGCTCCCACAGTACTCAGCTCATTACCAGCTATGATGACATGATTCCAGTTATGTGTTTCCTCAACTAAAATATGAGAGTAAGGGCTTTTTGAGAGTAAGGGCTCTGTCTTAATTAACGTTTTCCATCTACCCCATAGGGTAGTAACGTTTTGTTGAACTGGTAGGTGCTGAATAATATTAATTTTTATTTGTCCACGGTTTACTGTTTATGCATTTGACCCTTACCGTGAGTCTCTGGGATAGAGATTACAATCTGTATTATATAGATTAGGAAAATGCAGTTCCTAGCCGCTATTTATCCAGGTTATTGCTGGAGTCATTTCTGAATATCAGGTCTTCTAATTGTAATTCCTAGGCTCTTTTGATGGCAACTGTTCCTTTGTTAGGCTTTGTATTATCAGGGAACTTACTCTGAGACAATATTGGAAGGTAAATTTTACTAGTGTCCAGTTACAAGAGCAGGCAAAAAAGGTGAATTTGGAGCTGAGATGCAATATATTGATAACCAGTTATGGAAAAAAAAAAATGAGGGAAAGACATATTTTTTGCTTCACAAGCAATTTTAGAAGCTTTGGCCAATTCTATCAGTTAATGGTTTATTTTTCAATAACTTTTAATTTGTTCACCCACGTATTGTTTTGGGTATTAGGGACACAGTATTTAACAAGATAAAGGAAAATTTTCTTTTTTATAAAGTTTATATTCTAGTGGGAAATAGTTACTAAAGTAATAAACAATAACAATATTGAATACCAACGTCGACCGAGGGAATGCATTCCAGGAACACGAAGGCCCAAGGAAAAAAAAGGGGCATGTGAAATACTTTCAACTATAAATATTAAACAAGCAAACACACACAAAAAACACACAGAGGCCCTGAGGAGGGACTATTGGTATTTTTGCAGAGTTAAA